CCAAAAAAGCTAACTGACCAGCCAGGTGACTGAATATTTTTAAGATGTCAATTTTTCCCAATGCATCAAAATTTCTGGGAGCTTTTTAGTATAAATGGACAAGTTGGTTATAAAATTCATATGGAAATGCAAAGGACCTAGAACAGTCACTACAACTTTGATAAAGAACCACAAAGTTGGATGATTAACACCATCTGATTTCAAGATTTAAAAAGCTACAGTAATCAAGACAGTGTGGCATTGTAAACATAGCACAGACAACTAATTAAATGGAACAGAATACAGAATTCAGAAATAGACCCACACATATATGGACAACTTATTTTTTAGAAGATGCAAAGGCAAGCCAGTGGAGAAAAGATACTAATTTCAACAAATGTTGCTGGAAAAATTGGATACAAAAAATTAACTTGAACCCATACTTTACACCGTAAACAAAAATTACTTCAGAATGCATCACAGACCTTAAGTTATAAAACTTCTAGAAGAAAATATGGGAGAAAAATCGCTGCAACTTAGGGTTAGGCAAAGATTTTCTTAGATATGATACCAAAAGCACAATCCATAAAAGAAAAATCAACAAATTTGACTTCATCAAAATTAAAAGTTTCTGCTCTCTGAAAGATGCTATTAAGAGAATGAAAAGACAAGTCACAGAATAGAAGAAAATATTTGCAAAGCATACAGCCAATAAGGAACTTTGAATCCAGCATATATAAAGAATTCTCAAAACTCAGTAACAAGAAAACAAACCAGTTTTTGTTTGTTTGTTTGTTTGTTTGTTTGTCTTTTTTGAGACCTGCCGCACTGTGCTCAGCCAGTGAGCGCTGTGAGCGAACTGGTCATCCCTATATAGGATCCGAACCCGCCACGGGCTCCCAAGTGCGCCACGGGCTCGGCCCCAAACCAGTTTTTAAAAATGGTCACAAGATTCGAACAGGCACTTCATCAAATAAGATGTATAGAAGGTACATAAACACATGAAAAGATGTCAATATCATTAGTCATTAGGGAAATGCAAATTAAAATCACTATAAAATGCCAAGACATACCCATTAGAAAGGCTAAAATTAAAAAGACTGACCAGGGCTGGCCC